CGAACTTGTGATACACATAGTATCTGTAGTTTACCTGTAGACAGTTCTGGGGGGTTACTGCCCCACGGACTGGTCCCAGACTAGGTCTCCTGGTTGACGGTCTAATGAATTAGGCTGTTAGTAATGGTCGTATGCAGTCCAATGTAGTCAACACAGTCCGGTTGATCAGGAACTGACTTTAGTAACTTGTGGAGTTCCCTCTTGAAGGCAACCAGGGATTTCTTGGTAATTCTCTTATGCATGTCTGGAAGGTGTTGAAAAGTCATGGTATCTTTACACCTAATATGTTATCTCTTAAGAGTACTCATGGCACTCCAGCTTTTCATTGAAATTATTTAATTGTGCTGTATTTCTGAGTGTAGATCAGGAATCAGCCCCTCTAGAATTTTCCAGGTGTAAATAATGATGTATATTTCTCCAATGAGTACAGTTCGAGGGACTTCAAACGTTCCCAGCCAGAACTACAAATCTGCCTGGTTTAAAAGGGCTCTTCATGCACGGCAGTACTCCAGTCTAGTGAGAGCAAGTGACTTAAGGAATATCATCACTGGCTTGACATCTCTTGTTTTGTAGGTTCTAGTTATTCAGCCTATCATTTTCATAGTTGATGTGATAGTAACATTATTGTAACCCTTGAATATACTCTGATATTATCACACTTAAGTCCTTCACATTAATTTTCCACTCTACTGAGTGGTTTAAGTTTGCTTTATGCTTCATTCCAATTTTGATGTCCTTAAATTCTCCATATCGGAGTAACTGAAATTCTTTTTCATAGAATATCATATTATTGTCTGTGAACCACTAGGAGACTTGGTTTATATCAGCTTGGAGATTTTCTGTCCCCAATGGATGTCACAATCATACAAATTCTAGTATCGTCTACAAAGACTGATACAGTATTATGAATTATGTCTGTTGGATACGAGGGTGAAAAAGAGGATGTGAAAACTTTTGAGAGCTCTACTCTTGAAGCCCCGCTAACCTGGTCAATCAGGTTGTTGCTGTCTCGGCCCACAGGCTTATATAACTATTACAACCTGGCAAATCTGACATTTGTTTCTGGAAGTGAAACAAATTTCCAATTAAAAATGCCTACAGTGTGCCGGGATCACCTATATCTGGTGGAAGCAGAATCTTGGACCACAAATGTTGACACAATATTCTCTGACTTTACATATATTAACCCTAATATTTACTGGGTTTATTCTACACTTCCCCCGGCATCTCTCACTTCAGAAAGATGTTATGGCATTATTTAGACTAGGGACCTGATCCACAAGTAATCTCCATGTATGCATTACCAGGCACCTATCTTCTCTCCGTTCCAAAGAGAACATTGTAAGTGCCTTGAGACGTTTCAGGGGTAGATATTTGATTAATTATTTGCAGGCAGACAGCGGCCTCTGTACATTTCCTCTGAGCACAAAACAATATTACAGACATGAGAGCACAAGTGATCTGAGTAGCATCATAATAAGCGTGGCTTCCCTTGTATATCAGTGGTAGTATGTACAGACAACCATGTTAATAATACACAACATGCGCTGTATGGCATTTAGTTCAGAAGACGTTTCGCCCACCAGGGATTTTATTAATTGATTAAAAAGGTCAGTAATTTAAATCAGTACCACCACCAACAAGGTCAGTAAGATCACTACCATCAATATAGGTAGTAATATCACTACCTTCCTTTGACCTGTACTCCTTGGAACTCAGGCGAGAAAGATACATCATAAAATACACTTGGAAATTTCTAGAGGAACTAGTCCCAAATTTGAACATGGAAATCACTCCCTGTGAAAGCAAAAGACTCGGCAGGCGATGCAACATTCCCCCAATAAAAAGCAGGGATGCCATGAGTACACTAAGAGATAACACAATAAGTGTCAGGGGCCCAAGAATGTTTAACTGCCTCCCAACATGCACAAGGAAATTACCAATAGACCCCTGGCTGTCTTCAAGAGGGAGCTCATAAGCACCTAAAGTCAGTACCTGACCAGCCGGGCTGTGGTTTGTACGTCGGTGTGCGTGCGGCCAGAAGTAACAACCTGGCTATTCAGGTCGTGATCCACCGCGCGCGGTGGCGTTGACCCTCGGAATACCCTCTCGGTACACTATCAACACGGACAGTAATATTATTACCACTATCAACAATGGCAGCAATACCACTACCACCATCAACACGGACAGTAATATCACTGCCACTATCAACACTGACAGTAATATCAATACTACCATCAACACAGGCAGTAAGTACAATAAAGTCAGTGCCACCATTAACAATGCCAGCCACCACATGAGTAACATTAGCCGGCTACAGTGGAGACGATAATGTACACAGGACTCGTCACTACATCTCATAAGTAATAGCTCCCAGGTGTGCGCTTTTACTGCTGGGAACTTTCCTTTATTCCTTGATGAATGTTGTATGATTATTGTAGTGGTGGTGTCTGATGCCTGCTGGTGTATGATGTGAATCTGAACTCTGGTAAGTGCAATTAAGCACACGCGAGGTGGTATACACGTAGGAACGCACGTGAACACACACACACACACACACACACACACACTGTGATCAGGGATTAGTCTCGTTGTAGCTGTTTCTCCTCATAGTTCCTTGCTCTTAGCTCATGGGATTAATCTCGTTGTAGCTAAGTTTTACTCAATAATTTTTCATTCATTTGTATGTTTGTATGAATCGCTATGTAACTTTTATAAATCATAGATGAAAATCATCGCCAGATTAACAATACTCGCAATCAACGAGAGGAAGAATAACTCCAGTGTTTCTGGTAGACTCTGACACACATCACCTTCGCTTCGCTTATTGAGTGAATTAAGGTCACATCGGCCTCCATGAATAAGCCTATTGCCTAGAAGTAAGAAGACAAAGATGCGAACTGCTGACTAGACTTTGATGAAGCTTGATAAAGCTAGTTGTGTTTTGTCACGGAGTCGCATCTGCTGACAGCATATCTACTATTAGCATAAGGCGAAGACTTCTCTATTTTCCTTACATATCCACTATCCTGGTAAGCCGAAGGAGTGTCTGTTTTCCTGACATATCCACTATCCCAATAAGCCGAAGACTTGTCTATTTTCCTGACATACATTATCCTGGTAAGCCGAAGGCTTGTTTATTTTCCTGACATACCTATCCTGATAAGCCAAAGACTTGCTCGTTTTCCTGGTATCCCCACTTCCCTGATAAGCCGTAGCGGTGACAAGCCAAGAGTTCCTCTACCACATACTTCACTTGTCTGGAGTGATCTTGTAATATCAAGGCCATAGCTGAATATATCATTCTCACAATGAAATCTTGACTAAGACATTGAATGTGCCGACACACGATTACCACCGCATTAACTTCTTTCTTTGACGAAGTAACAAGGGTCACTTAGGCACCCCTTAGGGGCTGTGGGGGTACCTCATTCCACTGTTTAGCACGCTGTGTGGGGTACCTCATTCCACTGTCTAGCACGCCGTGTGGGGTACCTCATTCCACTGTCTAGCAAGCTGTGTGGGGGTACCTCATTCCACTGTCTAGCACGCTGTGTGGCGTACCTCATTCCAGTCTAGCAAGCTGTGGCGTACCTCATTCCACTGTCTAGCACGCTGTGTGGGGTACCTCATTCCACTAACACGCTGTGTGGGGTACCTCATTCCACTGTCTAGCATACTGTGGGGTACCTCATTCCACTGTCTAGCACGCTGTGTGGCGTACCTCATTCCACTGCCTAGCATACTGTGGAGTACCTCATTCCACTGTTTAGCACGCCGTGTGGGGTACCTCATTCCACTGTCTAGCACGCTGTGTGGGGGTACCTCATTCCACTGTCTAGCAGATTGTGGGGTACCTCATTCCACTGTCTAGTAGGCCTGGGTGGGGGTACTTCATTCCACTGCCTAGCACGCTGTGTGGGGTACCTCATTCCACTGTCTAGCACGCTGTGTGGGGTACCTCATTCCACTGTCTAGCAGGCTGAGCGGGATTCTCACTCCACTTGTGCAGTGTTGCTCACAGACAAGGGAGGTGCCACCCCAGTCTTCTCTCTATCTGCTTTATAAATGTTCAACCCACAGCTTTGTTGACCTGTCAGTGTGAGAGATGATGAATGACTGTGTTGCTCATGTCGACGACTGCAACAACAAGAATACATCGTGCACATGAGCGTGCACATACATATGCTTATACGTACAAGATTCACACGAGCGTATACGCAAACAAACAACTGCGCACGCATCCAAGTCTCGTTGGTTGGTTAATGGGGGTTTAAAGTCTATCGATTACCTGAATGTCATTAAGGCTGCACTCCTGTCTCGTTGGTTGGTTAATGGGGGTTTAAAGTCTATCCATATCGAGAATCATTAAGGCTGCACTTAACCTTTTCACCACCAGACAAGAATACTTCAATCCCTAAAACATGGATTAAAGTAAACTCTCAGTATATATACGCTGAGAGAAATACACCTCAAGGTGTATTAATTAATCCTGTATAATCTACTCCCTTATTTTTCATCTCTTTACAGCCTTAGGTAAAGCTTTTCTTATTTTTTCCCTAGTAAATATAAACATGTAGCTAATAATTGTGTGTAAGGTTTTTGATTGATAAGGGCTTCTGATTATTAGGTATTTATAGGTGAATGTTCTTAATTATCATCTGATCCCACAAGCGTAGGATTTCTGACCTACTTCTTATCATCGGTCACACTCCTGGATAAAGTGTCCTGATTGCCTCTCAGATTACCCTAGCTGGGTAATCAGAGAGAGTCCATTCACTCTGATTTCCATATTTTTTTTTTATTAAGTTCATCGCTATGTGGGTTGCCGGGCGTATGGTACAACCTAAGATTACAAAAAATGTAGTATTTTAAACGGTATTTTATTAGAGACGGTGGATCAAGCCTCCAGGAGTCCTTGCAATAAATAACCCACTCGAGTTTGGCGTTCCATATTAACAGAAATTATAATTTAATCAGTGTGTTACTGTTTACAG